GGGCCCGGGGCGCAGACTGCGGGGTGGGCTCAGCAGCGCCTCCTCCTGGGCGACGCAAGTACCAGCGGGCCGGGCGGGCCCGGGACTGCAGATCCCACCCGCTCTGAGGTGCGCCTGCTGTTGCGTTCAACCTGGCCGTCCGACATGTCATTCAGCTCTTGCTCGTTTAATTTTCTTCAGCTACACAGCCACCCAGCCGCTCATTTCCTTTAAGTCTTTCTCAAGCATCGCTCTTTCGGGGAGGGTGGCCACAATCTCAGAAACGTCAATCTCCTTCCCTCAGGTTCCCTGTCTCCCTTCGCAGCTCTCTCTCCTTAGCACACTGACTGTTTTCCTATCTATGTTTCTCCTCAAGTTAAAGATCTAGAAGCACAGGCATCTTTGTCTTGTTCCCTAGTCTAACCCCAGAGCCTAGGACAGTGCCTGGCACATGATAAGGGTGACATAAATTATTTGTCAAATGCATTCACTCATCCTAAAACTATGAAACACCTAATATTTATTCATTTATTTCTTCTGAACATTATTATCAACACTTACTGGGCATATTGGTTATATTCCGTAAACCAAACTAGGACCCAGCAATTCCATTCCCAGAGTTCACCCAAGAAAAATGAAAGCATATGTCCACTTTACGACCTGGACAGGAATATTCATAGCGGCTTTAATCCTAACAGCCCCAAATGGAAACACACGAATGTTCATCAGAAGGTGAATGGACAAACAGTATATGCTGAACACAAACGTTCATGGAGTGCCTACTGTGTGAAGGCCTGTGCTTGAGGAGCTTCTGGTTCAGGAATGAAACAGTCGATTGGGAGTATATCATGGAAGGCCTGATCGACAAATGGTCAGGAGTTTGGGCCTTTTCCCTAACGCGATGGGGAAGTGTGCAGTGTCTTCTCTGGACACAGATCTTTTATACTTCCACCTCTAGCCCCAAGTCTGCCCGATGTCTCTCCCTGGCGCTCCTTTCTGCCCGATGCTGTATTTCAGTCTATTTCAGAGCTCTTTCCCGTCTCTCTCCAATCTGCTCCGAACACCGCAGTGGATTTAATAGACCTAAAATGCAGCCAGACCCAATTTGGACTCTGCAGTGCTGGTAACACTCTCTAGCTCCATATTTAAAACGGGAAATGCGTAAAAAGCCGCTCCCAGTTGAAAGAGTGCCAGTTGGAGTAGGAAATTAGGAAAGACTGTGGAGTCCAACATACAAAATAAGTGATAAAACCAAGTGGGTTGACCCCAAGTCTGAGATCCTTTATCCTTGCAAAGGGGTTCCATGTTTGGGTTGTCTTATGGGTTAAGGAAAAAGATGCTCTGCAGCTAGTATTTTTAAGAAATCAGCTTTATTAATGAATACTTTACATATAATAAAAAATGTAATATACAGTTTGATGAATTTTGTTGTTTCTAAGTTGCGGCTATTATATAAAAGCCTAAGCGACTGTCCGACTGACTGGTCACAATGACACACAATGACCACCAGGGGACAGACCCTCAATGCAGGAGCTGGTGAGCTGCGGTGACTTGGCAGCTGTGATTCTCAGGTGATGCACCAAGGACCACAGAGGAGGGAGCCCGATTCCAGGGTGCATCACCTGAGAACCACCCTCTTGCAATCCAGGACCCCTTAGGGTCCCCACAGTCCAGGCTGAAGGACTCCACCGGTGCATGGATCCGTGCACCGGGCCTCTAGTTATGAATAAAACTGTTGTAAACAATCATATGTAGATTTTTATATGGTTCTGTTTTTCTTGCTAAAAGAGTTGAGAGTAGAATTTCTAGTTGTAAAGTAACTGCATGTCAAACTTCGTAAGATCAAACTGTTTTCTAAAGTGATTGACCTATTTTGGATTCCCCTCCCTCTTATCCCCACCAATGTATGAGGGGCCCAGTTGGTCTAGTACTTAGTATTGTCAGTCTTTTTCATTGTAGCCATTCCAGTGGATATCTAGACATATCACATTGAGGTTTTTCATATTCCCATGACTAATGATATTGAGCATATTTTCATGTTTATTGGCCCTTCATAGATATTCTTGGGTAAAGTATCCATTGTAGATAGATTTTTTATTAAGACATATCAGACAATTCTCAGAAGTCCCTGAGTAGCTGACATAGCAAGAACAGCTTAGGAAGTTGTGTTTATTTTCTTTGGGAATGGTCCAAGGCCCAAGGAGTTCAGGAATTAACCCTCATGCCTTGGATATAACTGTATTTCAGGGGGATAAAGGGATATCCAAAATTATACAAATTAGTTACTCTTTAAGCACAATGGTTCTTACTGGGGAAGGCAGGCAGAATAGATGGTACAGAGGTACACATAGATACAAAATTGGGCACATGATTTAAGAGATGGTTTTGTACTCCCTTTCCCTTGTAACCTCTCTTGAAGTGCAAATCAAGGCTACGGTGTAAGGAAGGGAGATGAATTTGCTGTCACCTTATCCTGGGGTGAGAAAGGTGGAAATGTTTCAAGTGTGAAAATTCCATTGAAAGCTCTTCATACATTTTTCTCCATACCTGGGGAATCCAATCATTTGAGAGAGCCACGTTGAACACAAAAACCAAAACACCTGTACAAGGCATACAGGACCAAAATGATTGGTTGAGTTTCTGACCCTTCCCCCTTCTCTCAGTTCAGCAAGCCCTGTTTACAATGCGAGGGACACAGCAACCATGTTCCAAGAACCCATCTGTCCTTCACTTTGTTTTTATCTCACCAGGCAGCTTTACCAACATCTCTTCCACCCTCCAAAATGTAGAGAGGCGATTTTAGAGGCCTCTGGTTGCCCTCAGCTCACTTCCCATCTGAACTCATCTGTTTCCTCTATATGTTGTCTTCAAAAAGGAAACCCAAACCCATCAACATATGTTCCACCAGATGAGCCTCGGGGACTTGGTAACCACGCTCCTGGGAACCGTTCCTGAAGCCCCCCTGAAAGTGGCTCCTCCTCCAGCTGAGCTCCTAGAGTACCTGACGTGTTCCTCAAACATGTTTACAGTGGAGAACGTGGGAGGTGAGTCCATGCCTTGAAAAGAATTTAGGTTTTATTCATCTTTTTTTCCCTCTGAGTTATTTAATAGCAAATAATTTTAGCAATAATCATTTTAACCCATTTTTGAAGCTGAATAACAACATGTTCAAAGTTGTAAATGGTGATGAAACCCAGCCTCACCGGTTCTTGCTGCTTACAAGGTCAGAGAAAACAGATCCAGACTAAAGGGACCTTTGGGTAGATCTACTTTTGGTTAATCGGGAATATCACGATCACTCCCTCTCCCGTCAGCTACTGCCTCACAATCAAATGCAGAGAAACGCCTAGACAAGTGCATTTGTTTTAACTGAGTAAGGAGAAAAACAGGGAAAAAAAGCAAAAGGGAGAGACTGCCAGAGCGCTGCTCAAATCCAGGCTGTCTGCAGCTAAGGCTGTGCTGATCAAGCAGAATTCCCTAATCTGCACACAAAGGCCTCCCAGGTGAGTCAGCAGAAAGGGGCTAATCCCCAGAGAGGTGGATTCCTAAAGCTGTAGAGGCCACACAGCCCGCAACATGGAAAATGGGGCATAACAAAAAGTTTAAAGCGGTACTGTGTAGTGAGAGGTCACGGGGGACAGGGGCGGGTCTTGGCTAAGAGATGGCCTCTGCCCCCTCTCCAGTTGTGGGTCATTTACACAACTCAGCCTTGGACAAGGCCCAGATATTAGGATTATTCCAAGGATACAAATATTGAGCTGTCAGCTGGTTAAGGGCCCAGTTGTGGGGTAGGGCATGGAGGTGGGGTAACTAATACTTTAAGCAAGGCAACCAACTACCATATTCCTGATTCCATAATAGTCAATCAACCAACTGGTACAAGATGTATATTACACTAGATGCCGGGGTGAGGAAAAGAAAAGGCAGTGGGAGGAAAGCACATTAGGTATATGGAAGCCTACCTCATGAGTCATTAAAGGAGAGAAAGCATGTGAAAATGTGAACTGATGCAAAGTGAAAGTGCCAAGCATGTGAAAGAAACAGGAGTGTACGGTGTCGGGGAAGGAATCCGAGCGCCCTGTCCAAGTGACATAGAAAGCCACCGACAAATGAGATCTGGCATGGTGGGGCCACTTAGAGAGAAAGAAGAGAAAGTCGACAGGCAGACAGCAGGACGGAGGTTTCCGGAGAGAATGGCCTGAGTCTCCTGGGATTAGAGCGGCCCTTAGGAAATTTAAGGAGGCCTAGCAGACATTTTCCAAGATGCTGTCCTTCGGTCAGGCACGTCGCCAGGCAGACATACAGTCAACACTGGATTAATTCCTCACTGGTCCCAGGAATCAGGGCATGGCTGCAATTACAATCCTCATTGTGTTATATGTAAAATATACTCTTTTCCAAAAGACTTAATTTTTTCATCTTCCAAGATGAAGCATCAAGCATGACTTTTATTATTTGCTTCAAAGTACTGGTCGCTGTTGTAAGTGACCTATTCCTCTTACCCGCCATCCCTGCTAACCACATGGAACTCCTCCGTTCACCTCCGTCTTCCTCACTGGAACTGGTGTCCATGGGGGCAGGGACCACGTCGTGCCCTGGCCACAGATGAAGCTACAGTGCTGGGTACAGAGCTGGAATGATGGATAGATGGATGAATGCGGGCATGCATGCATGGGTGGACAGATAGATGGACAGACAGGCAGGTGGACGACGGATGGACAGAGACGGATGGGGAGGTCAAGAAGCAGTTCCTACAAAAGGAGCTTTTATTTGGGGTGAGTTGAGGGCCTCGCTAGTACAGGCCCTGGAGGGTTTCCACGGATCTCTTCCAGCTGTTCTTCCAGCGCTGGGCCTCATTCACCTGCATGGTGTTCTCATCCTGGATCTTCTTCAACTCCTCTTCAAACAAGGCCAGATATTTCTAGGAGCGAGGCAGCAGGAAGAGGCCACATGAGGAGGGGCTTCTGGACTCTGTGCTCTAGAGGAACACTGCAAACTGCTGGCTGCTAGCTTTAACCCACCCTCGGTACCTCAGGCAAGAGTTCCACCAGGCATTTCTCATGTATTTGCCCAACAACCAATCAGGCAGGTCTGATTGTTCAATAGATGGGGAAACTGAGGCTCCGACTGAGCCTTGCCTGGGATCACCGGCTAGAAAGAGACTGAGCAGGGACTAGGACCCCAGTCTACCAGCCTCTGGACTCTGCACTTCTTGCTAACTGCTGCCCACCCTGTGGCCTCCCTGGGGCTGCGGGGACCTGGCTTCCTCGGGAGGCCGAGCCCTCTAGGCTTCAAGCCCTCGCTGAACTCAGCAGGCAGAGCCGAGATCCCCTCTGCCTGGGGCTTGGCATGGTAGCTGGGTCAGGGCGGCCCTGGGCACAGTAGGCTTTCCCAATACCAGGGTCAGCATATCTCTGGGCAGGAAAAGGTTTCTTTCTGGGCACCAGGACCAAAGGTCCACACATCTTCAGAGCTGAGAGGGCCCACAGGTGGCCTCCAGGTGTAGCCTCTTCTTCAGACAGGCACCCTGGGTGTCTGACAGGCACTCGGTTTTAACCCTGCCTCAGCCACTCTGTAGTGGCATCTGGCGGGGGGTGGGGGGCACTCTCTTTAAGCCTCAGTGTCCTCATCAGTAACATGGGACAATTCTACCTTCCTCATGGGGCTGCTACAAGGATTTAATGAGATGCCTCATGTTGAGAACAGACACTGTCAGCCCTTCCAGCCACTGCTCCCAGGGCCTCCATGCCTCTGACCGACTCTGGCCCCTTGTTCCTCTGAGAAGCCTTCCTCTCCCCGCAGTCTGGGGGGGTGGGGGGTGACCTCTGTGGGGCTCCTGCTGTACTGGGCTCACGCCATCAGACTCACACTCTCACTGGGACTGGACATGACCAGCGGCTCCCGTCCTTGCGTCTGAGCACATCGACTGTCCTGAGTGTTGACCCTGTGCTCTTGGGGCGGGGGGGGCACCCTGACGTGTGCCATCTGCTCCATGGCCACAGGCCAGGGCACTGTGATGGGAAGCTGTCTCCTTCCCCAGCCAGCCCAACGGGGCTGCTGGGCATCCCTCGGGGCGCACGCGCCGGTCCGCCCGCCTCTCCACTCACCAGGTAGACATCATCTCGGGCTTCCACGGTCGCCAGGTGGCCCAGCGTTGTTTTGAGGGTGGTGATTGATGGTGTTTTCCGGAGGAGAATCTCGTTTTGGATGGTGACTTCGGTGGGTTTGATTCCAGGCCACTTCCTACAAACAAACATGCCTATGAAAGCCCCGCCGGCTTGCCTTCGCCGTTTGCGGTGCGCCCTCTAACCCTGGTGGGGGGATGAGCATTTCCTTAAATGTCTTCATTAAAAGAAAACCCCTTCTGGTCATTTAACGTTAAGCTCCTTCAAGCTCTTTTTTGTATTTTCATCCGTGTGCAAAGTTTAAATCCATGTGAACAGACAACCCTGGGCTCTGCCTGGGCAGAGGAATGGCACACCTCCCCTTGTTTCCTACTTCTGGGCCCTCGTTTACGCCTCAGCCAGCCAGCCAGGTGGCAGCCGCAGACTCCTGCTCCATTTATTCCACTGCGCTGTAATAGCTGCTGCTAAGAGTGAAGCTGGGCAAGTCACTCCTTCCGTATGAGTGACATTCTTGGGGCCCAGGAACGAGCACTTTGACAGCTCTTGTTACACATTCTCAGTGCCACCAGCAACCCTAGAATTTGCCTTATGGTGGGAAAGGCCTCCTTTTCTTTGTGGGCCCCTTTGTAGGTCCTCACGGCCACTGAGTTCTCAGTATGTGCCAGGGGCACTCCGATCTCATTTAACTTTCTCTTCATAATACCATAGAAGGTAGGCTGCCACGCCCATTTCACAGATGAGAAAACTGAGGCACAGAGCATAGGGTTATTCCACAGCACTGCCCCCAGCAAAGACAGCCATTCTTGGTATACCTCCTGTTTGTGGCTCTCACCTGCTGCCCCGTTCGATCAGAGGCTTCTCACTCTCTTCCTCCAGGGATAGCCCAGCAAGTTTCCTCCGAATGAGAATTGATGTTTTCTGTTTAGGGGGCTCCATCTCTGGCAGGCAAGAGACAGGTTACTGACCGAGGCCTGGCCCACAGCCTGAGATCAAGCCCCCCCACTACCCCCCATCCCCCATCTCTGGCCTTAGAGAAATGAGGGCCTCACTTCCCTTCTCCCCACTTGGAGTCTCCCATGGGAGGCAGAGCACCCTCCCACAGAAAAGCTGACTGCACCAGATATGTAGGCTGTATTCTTTCTTTTTTAAAAAAGATTTTTTCATTGATTCTGAGAGAGGGAGGAAGGGTCAGGGAGAGAGAGAAAAAGTCGACGTGAAAGTGAAACATGGATTGGCTGCCTTCTGCACATCCCCCAACCTGGGATCAAGCCCACAACCCAGGCATGTGCCCTGACCGGGAACCAATCCAGCAACCTTTTGGTCCCCTGGATGATGCCCAACCAACTGAGCCACACTAGCCAGAGCTGTAGGCTGCATTCTTAAGTTTCTTTGTAATTCATATTGAATTTATTATTTTACTATAATGAATATTTACTGTCTTTGTAATAAAAAAACTTTAATAAGAATAATATATTTTAATTACTTAATAGACTAGTGATTAATGAATAATACTTAAGATGTGATTTAAGTGTTTCTATAGCTATAAAAGTAATATGCACATTATAAAAATTTTAAACATCCCTAACCTAGAAAAAAAAGATTTTAGAAGTCTCTGGTAATCCCAGCCACCAGAGGGGATCATTGTCAACAGTCTGGTACTATCTCTCAGGCTCTGTCTCTCATTCTCTCTCCCTCCCTCTCTCTCTCTCTCTCTCTCTCTCTCACATGAATTCATATATATATATATATGTAGTGTGTGTGTGTGTAGTTTATGAATGGGATCATAGAAAAGTACTCACTGTCAACTTGTGTTTTCACATAACAGTATTTCTTCCTGCCTTTCCACATTAGCACATAGAGACCATTAAACACACTTTAATAGCTGAACAGCAGTCATTGTACATTTCAGCCATAATTTATGTATCCAATCCCTTATAACTAAATATTAGTATTGTTCCCAATTCTTTGCAATGTTAGTGTTGTGATGAATATGCTTTAAAATATGTCCTTGAAAAACTGTGCAACTATTTCTGTTGGATAAATTCCTAGAGCAACAACTGCCAGGTCAAAATTAAGAATTGTGACCGGTAAAGGGAAGAGAAAAAGGAATTTTGACGGGTACCGACAGCGGGTTGCCCCCGAGGTGGTATCAGTGCTACCCTCTCCCAGGGTCTCTGTGGCACCTGGGCTTCCTCACATTCTCACCAGGGCTGGTTGCCACCAAACGGAAAAGCCTTGCAAGGCTGTTGGCGAAAATGGATATATTCATAATGTTCACATTTGCATTTTTTGTCATCAGTAAAGTTAAGCATTTGTTACATTCGTTACGGTAATTCACTGGCCTTGTGAATCACTTCTCTTTTGAATTGCATGTGTTTGTCTTTTGTCTCTTTTTACAAATTTGACCTGGTAGAGTTCTCTGTACCACAGAGATGTTGGGCTTTTCTCTGACTTTTAGATAGTAGGAATATTTTTCCAGTTTGTGGTTTGTCTTTTCATCTTTCGACAGTTTCCCTTGTTTTTTTGTTTTGTTTTGTTTTGGCCAGAGAAGTGCCAGCCATTACATATATATATATATATACACACATGTATGTGTGTGTGTGTAAGGAAAGGGAGAGAGAGATCAATGATAAGAGAGAATCATTGATCGGCTGCCTCCTGCACGCCCCCTTATTGGGGATCAAGTCCACAACCAGGCATGTGCCCTGACCAGGAATCGAACTGTGACCTCTTGGTTCATAGGTCAATGTTCAACCACTGAGCCCATGCCAGCGGGGCTCAGCTATTTCCTTTATGGTTTCTGGCTGTCATCTCATAGTTAGGAAAGCTGTCCCTACTCCAAGATTATGAAAATATTCACTAGTACAGTTTCATTTTCTACATGTAATTGTTGACCCATTTGGGATTTGTTTTTTAATTTAAAAAAAAGTTATTTCTCATGAAAACAAACAAAAATTCATCAGTCCCCTCGGTGGAGAATCCGTTTTCATTCTGGTGGAGTTGGGGAAAGGCAGAAATCCCGCATGGCCCATCAGCTTGTGCCTCGCCAACCCCCTGGGGCCAGGACACAGGGCCGTAGTGCCACTTACTTGCAACCTGGACATCATCGACAATGACCACTTCATCCAGCTGCAGCAGGAACTTCTCGGTGAAGCTGGCCAAGCTGGTTATGAATAACCGGCCGCACTTCCTGATGCATTCCTGGAGGAAACACGGGAGCCCAGTTGGTAGCAGAGTACCTTGCCTCCGACAGCAGGCTGAGGGAGGATTTGGGGAGCCAGCGGGTAACACGACAAAGCCACACGTCCATTATATCCAAGGTAGCTGACATTTGGTCCTCAGCCAGGAGACCTCTCCCAAGAGGTGACTTGGCTTGAGGTAGGAAATGATTCTGAAATGGCCAAGGGACAATTCACCAAAGAAGAAATAAAACTAGACATGGATTGTGGGGGAAAAGTTCTCATTAATAATTTTGTAAATAATTAATTTAGAAATGAAGAAATACAAGTCACCAACGGCCAATACTGATCATCTCCACCTGTAAAACCCACCCACTTTCATCTCCTGACGTGGCCAAGGTGTCGGCACAAAGCCGTGCTCCATGCTGGTGCCAGGCTGTCAGTGGGGTCATCTCTCTGGAGGGCAGTGCTTGGAAACTGATGGCACCACTGACCTCCAGCTTCTCCTTGGTGGTCATAATCATGCTGTCCAATTCTTTCTGTCTTTTCTCTTCCATTAGACACAGAGACTCCATTACTTTTGAATGTATAGGGTGTCCAAGATTTGGATGAAGACTCTGGGCGTTTTTATCCTTCAATTAAAAAAAAAATCCAGAAATCTGCAGGAATTTCAACCACGCTGTCTTGAGGTCAGGACCAAACAGTCACTGGCCTATGTCCTCTGCCAGTTATGGCAATGGGCAGACTGGTGTGTGTTCTGACCAGGGTGTGTGAAGGGCCATGAGTGGGCAGAAAAGGCAAGATAGGGGCCTGGCTGGAGCTGACTCTGAGGGGAGAGGGAGGGCGAGCTGAGCACCTGCCCAGCATGATCCAGGCTTTGGTTCAATGAGAGGAACAACTCCTGGCTATGAGACCAGGGAGACAATTGTTGTTGATCTCAATGACAATGGCCACACATAACCCAGCTGACCCACCCAACAAGGAGTTTACTGAATGACTTCCCTGAAGAAGCTGCCGGTTCCACTCTCATTCCCCCAATGCCTTGTGTCCCCCAGTGCCCATGCAACAATCCCAAGCCTGGCCCATCACCTTCCCTGGGACTCAGTTCTTCCCATGCCCTGCATCCATTTCTGCTCGCCCAGGGCCCCTGAACCTGGAGAGGAAGGGCAGGTCCTGGAGCCCCCACCTTCCTTTTCTCCAGCTGCTTGTGATAATTCGAGAACTGTTCCCGGATCTCTCTGGTGGAGGTGCAAAGTTTTTGCCAGTTGATCTCCTTGAAATTTTCCATCACCAGCCAACACATCTGGGGCAGCAGCTCTTCGAATCTCCGCATCTGGGCGCGTAATTCTGTAGGCATTGGGGAGGAGAGGCCGGGGGGAGGACAGAACAGAGCCCCATTGCTGAGGGTGTCTCCCCAACCAAGGCCCGAAGCCGTTTCCCAGAGAGAGAGGCTTGGTCTTCGATGAGGTAATACCTATTTCATCAAAAGGGGTCCTCTGGCCAAACTAGTGCAGAGAAAACTACTACAGCATGAAAGTTCCAAAGACCTTTCTCTTCTAAACCCTGCAGGACTTTCCAGCTCATTTAAAATAACATTATATCTTTAAGCATTGTCTCCTCCATTCCCTCTTTAAATATCGTCTTCACTCTAGTCTCCTGCCTGTCCTCTCGGACTTCTAAATAGCTATATGTTAGATCTGCTCTTTCCTCCATATCTCTTCACCTTTCTTCCCAAATGTCATCTGTTTTCCTGTGTTGCATTTCGGATGTTTTCTTTGCATCTACGTGCCAGTTCACTAATTTCACCTCCACCAATGAACAATATGGTTGTAAAGCCATTTATAATTTTTAAGTTTCAAATATTTATTTTTCAAATATAGGAGTTCTATTTCGTTCTCTTTCGTTTCTACTTGGCCATTTTCATAATCTCTTGCTCCTTACTCATTTTTCCAATTTCCTCTTTTATTTGACTCTAATAAATACATGCTTTTATATTTTCTGTTTGATATGTTAAAAATATAAAGTCCTTACTGGCCTCATCCTGCTGTCTACCTCATGTTCAAGATACCTTTTTTTCTACGTGTGTGTGTGTGTGTGTGTGTGTGTGTGTGTGTGTGTGTTTTGTTTGTTTATTTTTACCGTGGGGAATCCTTGAAGGCCTGAATTGAAGGTGGATTTTACTAAAGAAGATTTGTAGCCCTAACCGGTTTGGCTCAGTGGATAGAGCACGGCCTACGGACTGAAAGGTCCCAGGTTCGATTCCGGTCAAGGGCATGTACCTTGGTTGCGGGCACATCCCCAGTAGGAGATGTGCAGGAGGCAGCTGATCGATGTTTCTCTCTCTCGATGTTTCTAACTCTCTATCCCTCTCCCTTCCTCTCTGTAAAAAAATCAATAAAATATATATATTTTTAAAAAGAACATTTGTAGTGTCTGTATTAAACAAGCATCTGGCACAACTAACTCATGATCATTTTCAGCTAAATATCAGTGAGAGTCCTTTTGGATGCTCCACAGAAAGTTAAATTCAGGTTTAGCTCAGTGTGACTTCAAGTTTAAAAACCACATTGGGGCCCTAACCAGTTTGGCTCAGTGGATAGAGTGTCGGCCTGCGGACTGAAAGGTCCCAGGTTCGATTCCGGTCAAGGGCATGTACCTTGGATGCGGGCACATCCCCAGGAGGTGTGCAGGAGGCAGCTGGTCGATGTTTCTCGATATTTCTAGCTCTCTATCCCTCTCCCTTCCTCTCTATAAAAAAAAATCAATAAAATTTATAAACAAACAAACAAACAAAACGCATTGGGGCTGGCTTATAGGTGTGGATTCTCATTGGAGTTTTTCTTCTTCTTTACCCAGCACCAAGGTTTTTAATAAGACAGTTTGGATTGTAGGAGTGGGAGGGGTGGTTTTTGTCTCATTCACCTTACTCTGTAGGTAGAGCCCTAGTGTCCTTTTGGACTTTCCACCTTGGGAGGTCCAGGCTTTGTCTCCTGTTCCCAATGCCCTGAAGGCCATGAAACCAGAGGCTTAAATTCACTGGGAGTCAGCAAAGTCCTTAGGGCAAGAGCCAAAGTTACTGCTCAATTTATCTCTCAGAGTTCCTGTGTTGTTGGCGTCTGGGGCCTGGCTGTTTCTTGCTTCACAGCTAGCTCGATGCATTTAAAAGATTTCATCACAAACATATACCCAGCATTTTTACACCTTTTCTCTGGGAGGGTTGGTCAGATACCTGGACCCCCAAACTGTAAGAAATGGAAGTGGACATTTACTGTGAACGGAGAATCTTCCAGAGACGCACATAATCGGCCGCATTTCCCAAGCTCATCCGACCATAGGACCTTCACTTTATGGAAGAGCATATAGAACGGAGTTCACCTGGGGAAATGCTGAGCTGGAGAAATGAGATGCTGCCTGCAGTTTCTATTCCAGTCGTCGCACAGCCATAGTAGCGAGAGCCACGGCAGACTGTTTCCCCCTGTACGTGGCAAGTCTGTGCGAGGGGTTTCATCCTCAAAAACGCCTTGCATCCTGGGTTTTACAGACGAGGAAACTGAGGCTCATAGAGGCCAGGTGGCTTGGTCAAGGTCATACAGCTGGAAGACGGCAGTGCTCGGCCTGGGTCACAGGTCTGACCATCCCCTAATCCTCTCCCTCTTCTATCCATGCTGCCTCTCCACCCACACAGCAGGCCTCTAATGGGCCCTCAGGTTCCCTGACTTACAAGAGGAATAACTAGGACTTACGACTGCATAAAACACACATGACTATGGATGAAGATGCAGAGGTACATGGAGAAATGGGCAAGAGCGTTGGGTAAAAGAGTCTTCACAACTCCTTTAAGTGATAAGAATGACTTATTATATTACATATAACAATAAATGTAAATGGCAAGATGTATCTACCTGCCTATTTTCATATCCCTGTTCTCCAGGAGGCACTCTCTCCTGAGTTCATCCCAGGCTAGCCCAGCCCAGGCCAGGCATGCAGTAAGCACCGTGGAAGGATTCTTCAAGTGATTAAACACAGAGTCACCATATGACCCAGCAATCCCATTCCTCGTCACACACCCCAGAGAAATGAATACCTACGTCCACACAAAAACATGTACATGAATGTTCACAACAGCATTGTTCACAACAGCCAAAACACAGAAACAATCAAATATCCATAAATGAATGAGCAGGTAAACAAAATGTGGCACGCGCAGACAATGGACTATGATTCCGCCATTAAAAGGAATGAAGTGCTGATACACACAATAACATGGATGAACTTTTAACACATTGTGCAAAATGAAGGGCCCAGTCACAAAAGACCACATACTACATGATTCCATTCATATGAAAGTTAAGAACCGGAAACTCGATAGAGACAGAAAGTAGATTAGTGGTCGCCTAGGGCTGGGAAAGTGATGAGGGACCGGGGGTTCTAAACCTAACAGTGGTGATGGTTACACAACTCTCACTCAATCCATTACGTTGTACACTTTAAATGAATGAATTATATGCAGGTGAATATCTCAATAAAGCTGTCAAAAATATCTGTGCAATGAACAAAGCACTGTTAGTTATAGAAATCACCACATATCCCCAAAATAAGGGGCCTTTTGGGAGGAAGCATTGTTATTTCCCCCCAGCTAAATCTGATGAAGGTTCTTACCTAATTCTAAGATGTCAACTTTTCATGGAGTGGCTCCTCTGACTCACCGGGTGACCTCCAGGTCAGAAGGTAACATCCAGACCCTGAGGCCCAGGCCTGGCTCAAGCAGTGGCTTCGTGCCACCCCGGGGCCCGCCTGCCGGCCGCCCTCACCCACCTATGAGGCAGGAGTTGTGGTAGTCGTCCGTCTGGTTCTGGTACTCCAGGATCTTCTTGCAGACGCTCTCCATACACTGCTCAAAGGTATCAGACATGCAGTCGGGCCTGGTGACCGAGCGCTTCTCCCTGCGGTAGAACTCCTGCGAGAGAAGGTTGGTGGCGTGCGGGTGAGGACTCTGGCGCCATGGTACTCTGGTCCAAGACCCTGGCATCCTCCTCCCTGCTCTCCACATCACCTAGCCTTCACTCCTGCGGTCCCCTGTGCCGGTGACCCGTGCCTCTGTCTGTCCTTTTCACCACGGCTGGTGTCACAGGGCTATGCAAGGCACAAGAGAGGGGCTGGCACAATTCTATTTATCCTTCAAGGCCAGTATGGAATCTCTCTTCAATGACAGGGCGGAGGGCTTACTATGACGCACCAAGCTGGTTACCAGACTGAGGGCCACCAATATGGATGATCCGAAGCTCCTCCTCCGAAGGACTCACAGCTCAGCGGGAGGCAGGCAGGAAAATGCACAGACACTCCTGTGTGGAGCGTGTGCTGAAAACAGGGTACCAAGCAGTTCCTGTTGGAGGACCCCTTGCTGACATGTCCCGCCTGTCTCCCTGTGGTGCCGCCATGTCTGTCACCCTCCTGCTGGGCACTGGCCTCAGGGACAGAGACGGGCTTGCTCCTCTGGGCAGACCCAGTATCTGAATACAGTTAGTGTCTAAGAAATGTTTAGGTCTGAATAAATGGCTAACTGAATGAATGAATGAGGTTTAGCTGGGTAACCATGGTCATGGGGGCTGGAACCCCTTTTCCTCAGTTTCACCCACAGGGCCCTTATCAGCAGAAGGCAGGAGGCAGAAGCAGCTGGGGGCATGCGGCCAGTGACTGGCAGAGGGCAGGCAGAGGCTTGTGGGCTACAGCGCTCACCTCTATGACATTCATCAGATGCTCACTGATATCCCAGAGGAGGGTCAGGATGACCCCTTTAAAATCCCTGCAACAAACATGAGATGGATTCCTCAACGGAGTCAGGTTTAGCTAGTGCCCCTAGATAGACACAAGAGGTTAACATGTAGTTAAAGGAAAAGGCGCTGTCACTTACTCGGCCTGACTACGTGGCCTGTCCCAGAGCACCTGGTACCGTCTGTCTATTCTGTTGGGCTTGGTAAACCGTGTGACACTGTGGGACAAAGGTGAGTCAGTGCTCTGGAGGCCGGGGACAGACAGGCATAGGTGAGCCTGCGGGAGCCCCACCTGAGTTGTTAGAGGCATTGACCTCCCTGTAGGCTACCTGCTTCCCACGTTTGGGGCTGAATCCTTCAAAATGCCTCTCTACTCCTCAACAGCTCTGGAGACAACCTTCCTGTGGAAATGAAGCCCTGCCGCCGCTAACCCCACCCAAGGCCACTGAGAAGGGGGAAGGGAGCGAGGTGCTCGGCCTGCAATTTTGTATCCTTGGACCCTGTGTGAGCCCCCAAAGAAAAGTGGGTTGAGCCACATATAGGGTTGCAAGATTTTCAAACAAAAAAAACAACGCCCCCATTTAAACTTGAATTTCATAGAAGCAACGAATAATTTTTTAAATGTATTTCTCATGCTATCTTTGGGACATACTTACACTAAAAATATTCCATGTTTTCCTGAAATTCAAATTTAACTGGGCATCCTGAATTTTCATCAGGCAGCCCTAGCAACGTGGATTTCATTTTGTAGCCTAAACAGAAGTGTCTGTAATAATCGGCCCCCAAATGACCAGGAATTGGTTAATAGGTGACAGCTTTCCAAAGTTTTGTCCTTGTTTCCAACTTAAAACCAAACAGAGAAAAATCAAACATACTCCCCTAACCAATCATATCGGATGCCCCGCAGCTGGCCTGCCTCCCACTTCCTATGCCAACAGCCTCCAATCAGATATACCCAAAGCCCTCCCTCTTCTCCACTATAAAGCTTTTCCACTCCTCTGCCTGCCTTTGGGTCTCCGCTAAAATGCAAGTGACATGGCCGACTCCCTTGCTGTCGCAAGTTCTGAGTAAATAGCCTTTGATTTTCTCATTTGGTTGATCTTTGTTTACTTTTGCATTGCAGATGGTCTGAGTGTTTAAAAAGACCTTCTGGAGGTATGCAAAGCCATAGTTTCTTCACCACCACTTGCTCAAAACCAGGAATTAAACCACATCAATGAGGACTCACAGAAGACCAAGAAAGTTTGTGGCCTGCTCTCCCCCTTTTGTAAAAGCCATGTTGGGTGTTAGCCAGAGCTCATGCTCACTGAGCCATGAGTCTAATCACTCCAGGGCGGCCTAGTGGGCAGAGCACATGGCTGGAAGGCAGAGGCCCAGACTCCTCCTAAGGTTCTGTGATGTCACCCAAAGAAAGCCATCGCCAGGGTCCAGCTTTCTGTTCAGTATGATGTGCGTGGGAAGGTAGAAGGCTTGGATCCACTAGCCATCACCTTGGGCACCACTGAATTCTCAGACAGGCTCTCTAAGAGGGAATGAGCGCAGATATGACCAAAACCAGCATCAGAGCTGGACCCTCACTGTGTCCCTTGGAGTCTTGAAGCTGTGGGCACAGGCGGCACATCCTGATGACAGACTCGGGTAAAGTAACAGGGCGGTCTCTGGCCTCCATTTAGGGAGACAAGGTTGGGGTCTGGGAAGGGGAGATCTTGGGCAGCCCAGCGTCCCTACCTCCCTACTGAGGTGGCATTGGCACTGGACAAGGTCTTTGCAGAGTGTTCTCCCTGGTTCCGGTGTCGCTTGAAGCCTTTGGGTGACAATCGCCCAGGACAAGAACAGAGGACCCCAGGTGAGTATGAACCAGGTGGCACCATTGGCTTCCCCACTGCCAGTGCCCTGCGACTCACAGGCCTGCTTGCTTTTACCTGTCGGCCATCGAGTTTTGTCACCTGGGAAAACTGAGAATCTTGAGTCCTGAAATCTGAAAACAAAGGAAAGGAGGTGAGGTTTTTCCCGGTGATCATGAGCACAGCTCATGCCAGACCCTGAGCACCACCCCGGTTAGCACACAACACAACATGGCTTCATCCTATCATGAGCCCCATTTTAGAGGAGAAAACGGAGGCTCTGAGAGGAGAGGTCCCTTGTTTAAGATCACAGGCTTTCAGGGGTGGGCTCCCATGGGAACCCAGTGTGTGTGTGACTCCAAAGCCAGTTCCTGAAGGCTCAGGGCACGGGCCCCGGTGGCAAGGCCCCAGAATGCACCCCAGGGCCACTCACTGCAGGATCTTCTTGACCACATCGATTGCTGGGTCTTCAATCATGGGCCTCCCCATGCGGCTTGGCTGGGCAAAGGACTCAGGGGTGACCACATCTACCTTGGCCTCCTCTTCAAGGACTTCTGAAGACACCAGGATGTCACTCTCGTTGTCCAAGTCGGTTAAGGTGCTGCTCTGCGGGCCAGAGAGAAAGGCCCGAGTATGCGGGCCCAGCCTCGGTGCCAGGGAGGCAGATAGGCTGGGTTCACGTTCCAGCAGCACTTTGCTCAGGTGCTGCAGCTGGGGGCCAGCTGACGGACCATGTTGAGCCTCTGCGTTCCCATTTATGAAACAGGAGCGGTCACATCTCTTTTGGAGGGCCACTCACGCATGCCTGCATGCATGCCAACTTTCAACACTGTTCCCTGGGTGCCTGCTCTCTGCAAGGCTCTGCCTGGGTCCCTGGACATGGAGTGAAGAGGCCACATGAGCCCTTGCCTTCATGGACCTTACAGTCTAGTCAGAGAGACAGGCATTTAATACATATCAGGTAAATGTTTGGTCACAGTGGGGACCAGTACTGTAAAGGAAAAGTCCCAGTGTCATCTGTGAGACTGAGGGTCATGGACCTGTAAGGCTGGCCTGTGGGTGTTCCCAGGCAATGCTTTTAACTAATAGATGAACGCACGGATGGGTGAGTCGCCAACTCCCCCTTGAGGTGGACCTTAGAGAAAGGGTCCGAGTGGTGGCTCACAATGAGAGTTCAGTTACACTGTCTCCTCCTTTATTCCAAGTCATGACACTGCAGTGGGCTGTAAGAGGGGAGGCCCCAGCTGGACGTCTAAGCTTGTCAGGAGCAGCAGTGGTGGCGCGATGGAGGCTTAGTGTTGATGGTGTGGTGGGAAGAGCCTCCCCTTAGAAGGAAAGGCTGGTTCAAAACCTGGCAGGGTCTGAGGGCAACTAGAGCAGAACGTGAGGGGTGTCCATTTATGCTGCCAGAGGCTGCTGTATAAGTCTGATGAAAGTGACATCTTGCGGGGGGGGCAAAGTGGAATCTTGGGGATACCAGAAAAATGAAGAGGCCACAGAGGGTGGACTGCACAGGTTGCTGCATAGGTCTGGTTTTACCCAGAGGGCAGGAGAGTGACAGTCACAATGGCCTTTTCTAGGGTTTGGTCTGGCTGCAGCTCAGGAAACAGATCATGGAAGGAAGTGAGAAGCTAAAGACAGCCAGAGGGCAAGAGACCAGGGGATTTGGATGAGGTGGTAGGGGTGGGTAGAGAGAAGCTGGTGGCCGCTCATGGGTTTGGGTGGGAAGGAAGAGGCTGAAAAGTGAGACTCCCCTGAGAGGTGGTGGGTGGAGTGAGCGGAGGGCCCTGATGGGGGAGACGGGGTGGTATCAGGAGGTGAGGGATCCTCTAAGAGACCAACGCAGGGAAGTGGTACATCTTGGATTTGGACCCAGATCTGACTACACAGCCTGTGGCCTTTCCAAGGCACCCCATAGGCCTGATGTCCAGTAGGAGCCTGGGAGCACCCTCCTTCCTCCCTTGGGCTTTGCTGAGCCCTGCATTCTCCAATAGCTCACCCCCACTTCCCCGCCACCCCGTTCCATGCCTTACAGCAAACACCACTTGAGTTATAGACGCGTGCTTCCGCTTGCAGTTGAGGTACTGAATCCTCTGGCTCAGTTTTTCTTTCCAAGTTTGGATGAAGCCATGGAAGTCTTCAGTGGCCACTACCTAGTGAGAACGTGGGAGAAGAAAGCCACAGGAAGCAGGCTGCAGGAGGGCGGGCTGATGCCATCTGAATCTCAGGAAGGGGAACTGGCTGGTGAGAATGGCCCTTGGTTGGATGGAGGCCCCTCACTTGCAGGAAGGGCTCTGGGGGCGTGGCTGACTCTCCCAGGCTGCTGCACTGGGACAGCAGCTCCTCCAGCGGATAGGGTATTGGGAGTTCCATTACCAGGTCTACAGATTTGTTCTCGGCAAGTGATTTAAATATACTTGACTCAGTCTCCCCATCTGCATGATGGGGACAAAGAATGCTTCCCTAGGATTTCTCCTGGATCTTAACACGCTAGGTTCAGAAGGAAATGTTTGGCCCCAGATGGCAAGGGTGTGCAGAAGTGAAATGACCACAGCTTTCTGGAGGGGCATCTCCAGTACAATGTCACATGCACACAGCGCTAGAGTAGCAATCCCACAGCCCACGCCCCACAGGTGTGTGGGAGAGCAGTGAGGTGCCGGGGACATAGAGAAACACCGGCATCAAAATACAGGAGTCATGAGTGGCTCTGCAGGAAATGAGAACAACATGAGTGATGTGTGTTCTCCACTCTGTGCTTTGGGGATGTTGGAACTTTTTCCAAGAAGCATGTGTTACTCTGCAAGAAAAAGCAATAAAGACAGAAAAATAAATGTCCTCTATTGTTAGACAATGAAACCTTAATCGGCCGCTGAAATGAAAGAAAAAAGGACACTCTCGCTGCACTCTAGCTGCCTGCCTGGGATTAAGTAGGGAGGCTCCAAGGCCCCTCGTGCGGGAGAAATCTTGACCGTGTAAGTGTATTTCCAGCTTATGATTCCAGCACGAGGCATCTTTACCATTCATAGCTTAGCACCTACTGAGCACTTACATTTTTATCTCCCCTTGAGTTTCGATACATTTCTACTTTGCTTTGAAGCTGTTCCAGAGAAGCATTTAATCCATCTGCTTGTGAATTAGATTTTGCCACCTACAAAAGACAGAAGTTCCAAGGTTTGTTTCTAGAATACTGATTTGACCAGGAAAATGTTTAGTGAAACATATTACCTGAGAAATGAATTAAATACTGGAAAAATTAAATCAGGAGGGGGGAAAGGCACAATCTTATCAGAAACTTGGTCAATGTGCGTTTTAAAGATTTTTTTTAATTGTCAAATAGATAAGGCTTAAAAATAAAATTGGTGACTCACAGCACTGGTCGAGGGTGTGGGTATGTTTCTAAGAATTTATCCATTTCTTATAGGTTATCCTTTTGGTTGGCATATAATTGGTCATAGTAGTCTCTTCTGATCCTTTGTATTTCTGTGGTATCAGTTGCAATGTCTTTTATTTCTGATTTTATTTGAATCTTGTCTCCTTTTTTTCTTAGTCAGTCTAGTTAAAGGTTTGTCAATTTTGTTTATCTTCAAAAAATCAGCTAGTTTCATTGATCTTTTGTATGGTTTTTCTAGTCTCTATTTCATTTATTTCTGATCTGACCTTTAGGTATTTCCTTCATTCTGCTAAAGTTTATTCTTCTTTTTATGTTTCTTTTTCTTTTTTTTTAGTTCCTTGAGGTGCTCAGCTAGATTGTTTATTTGAGATCTTTGACCTGGACTCACATTGTGGCTGTGCCATTTAAGAGCTCTGTGTCCTTGACTGAGTCACGTACTCTCTGAGTGTTTCTTTCTCTCTAAAATGGGGATTAAAAGCAGTGCTTGCTTTGTACTGTTCTTGTAAGGACTAATATAGCCAATCAAAATAAGTCCATTTGCCCTGACTGGTTTGGCTCAGTGGATAGAGCGTCGGCCTGAGGACTCAAGGGTCCCAGGTTCAATTCCGGTCAAAGGCATCTACCTGGGTTGCGGGCACGCCCCCAGTGGGGAGTGTGCAGGAGGCAGCTGATCGATGTTTCTCTCTCATCGATGTTTCTAACTCTCTATCCCTCTCCCTTCCTCTCTGTAAAAAATCAATAATATATATATTGATTTATATATATATATATATAAAATAAGTCCATTAACCTTCAAAGAACTGAATGAATGTCAGAAGCTATGACGCTTTAATCTGTTTTCCTGGCGAGTGCAAGTCCCATGGGGCAGAGACCACACCAGTACCCCCAGCTTCTAGGACAGTGATGGCATGCAGGTGTGTGTGTGTGTGTGTGTGTGTGTGTGTGTGTGTATGAGAGAGAGAGAGAGAGAGAGAGAGAGAGAGAGGGAGAGAAACAGACATCAGATGAAGAATTAATCGGTCCCACCTCACACTTAATGTTCACTTGCAGATTTGTCAGCAACCGCTGGATTTTCTCTAAGAAAATAAGGTCCACAGACAGGTTATGGATTTTACTTTCAAACTTGTTGATAAAATCATTGGCCTGTAAATAAATATAGAAGGTAAGGGAGGGAGGCTTAATTGGGCACTTTGGGGCTTCAGAAGCAGAGGGGGACAGGCTCAATTAATGGTTGGAAAGGCGGCCTGACTGGCATCGTTGACCTTGTAACCAGGTATCCTGGGAGCCTGGCTGGAGGTCAAGGGTGGGGCTCACCCACCTGCTCCAGGTATTCGCTCTCCATCTTCTCCATGTTGATCATGATTGAGCTTTCAACAACCTCTATCCGGGCAGCTTCCTTCTCTAGTCGGTTACACAGTGACTGAATTTCTTCAGGAGAAAAGTTGCCTCCCTCTGAAAACAACCTGAAAATAATTTGGGAGACATAGAAGCCACTGATCAGACCTGAAACTTTCTGTTCATCCCAAATACGTGGTTAATGAGGCTTTAAATTAAAAGTACAAGATCAAGGTAAAATGAATGCAGGTAAGTCAAGGACAGAAGCAGGAAAATAACCCAAATGCCCATCGAGGGATGGGTGGATAAACAAAATGCAGTATATGTGCACAATAGAATAGTATTCAGCCTTAAGAAAGGAGGAAACTCTGGCACATGCTACAACATGGGTGAATGTTGAAGACATTATGCTACGTGAAATAAGCCAGACACACAAAAGGACAAATGTTGTGTGATTCCACTTCCAATGAGGTATCTGGAGGCAGAAAATCGAATGGTGGCTGTCAGGGGCTGGGGGAAAGGAGAACGGGAGTTAGTACAGGATGAGTTCAGAGTTTCAGTTTGCAAAGATAAAAATGTTCTGGAGATGGATGATGGTGATGGCAGCACAACACTGCGAATATACTTCATGCTACTGAATTGAACATCTGAAAATGGTTAAAATGGATAGTTTTGTGTTATGTACATCTTGTCACAATAAAAGACTAAAGGGGACATGACCAGCTCTCAATAGAGAAAGCCTGGGGGCCGCAGAGGCCCGGACGCTGGCTCCCACCTGCTGTGCTTGATGAAGTCGATGTTGGTATAGCGGAGCTTGCCCAGGCTCTCCTCCAAGTACTGGCGGAAGCTGCGCAGGGACACCTGGATGACATCGACGTAGCTAAGCAGCTCCCGGTTCAGGGTGCTGCTGAGCGTGACCAGCCTGGGGACATGGGAAGGGCAGGGCGGTGACTGGCATGGGAGGCCAACCCGGAAGGCTGCTTGGGCTCCACTGCTGTGCCCGGCTGTGAGGCCACCAGCAGCACTGCCCATCGTCTCTGCACAGTAAAAGAGGCATTAGGAGGAAGTTCAAAGTGCCGGCGTGTGCGGGACACAGTGTGGAACTCTCAGTGTGCGGGGTCAGAGGGCCCCTCTCTCCTCACTCCAGCCCCTGCCACCAAATTGGTAAAAGAATCCCCAGGTCCTACTGAATCGTGTCCTCCCTCCGGCACCCTCGCTCTAACTCCCAGCAGCATGGCTCCTGTTCCCCGGGGCTCCCCAGAATGAGTGCCCTGCAGGTTTCCTCTTCCACACGCAAGTGCACCCTAACCAGTTGCCTCTTGTGTAGCTGATCACTGTGCAGAGACCTGTGAGGCCTCCTCGCCTGTTACCAGACTGAGCCTCCCTGAGCATGCAAGAGCCCCCATCCCAAATCCCTGCATGGCCTCCTGGAACCCCTTGCTCTGCCCTGAGCACATATCTACCTCCAGTGGGGCCAGTGCTCCTTCCTGATGGGAGAATTCTGCCCCTACCCACCTTCCTCCATCCTGATTGCCCTGGACAGAAGGGAACATTTCAGGATATATTGTCTGCATAGAGCACCCTTTGTTCTCTCTGGCGGCTCACCTGCCCCGGCCCCCAAACCCCAGACAGATGTTTCACAATTGGACTCTGACTCTCGTGCAGAGGTGAAATGAAAAGAGAAGGTTGCTCCATGGCCTGGAAAACCCCAATTCTTTTATCCATCAGAGGGACCCCTCCTCTGACAGAAGCCGCCCGGCTGTGTTCTAGGCCCACAAGGCCAGGGCGGGGGACTCCAGGGCCCTTACTTCTGGCTCTTGGTGGCATTCAGGAAGATGTGTTCCATGTCATTGATCTTGCTGCGGAAGTTTTTAGTCTTCATGTTCTGCTCCTCTTGGAACTGGGAGAACATCAGCTTCTCCTTCTTGAGCGCCTCCAGCACCCCGGCACAGTGGCTGTCCAAACGCTCTTGGTGCAGCAAGAGCTCGGCTGAAAGGAACGAGGGAGCTGAGGTCCTCTGGACCCCGAGTCGCCCCAGGATATCCCTTTCCCTGACGTGACGGCTGCCCTTCCCAGGCTGCTGCAGAGCAGGGACGACGGAGGACAATGTCCCTTATTCTGCCCTACTGCCCTCACCGGGGCGTGGCCTGGGGATGGGCACAGATATCAGGGAGGCCAATTTGAAACTGCCCTTGCGTCTCTAACTGGAGAGGAAGCTCTGCCCAGCTATGGTAGGTTGGTGTCTCTGCTGGTGGAGACGCCCTGCCTACAGCTAAAGGGAACAAGGCCTGGGAGATGGAGAGCCCCAGAGAAGCAACCTGGGAGCAGGTGGGATAGGGGCAAGGTGTTGGGGAGGTCAGGGATCTCGGTGAGAGGGCCTGGGAGAAAACACCCAGCCCACAGCTGGGCTGTTGAGGGTGGTTCCTTTGGATCATTTCCAATGAGCCTGAATTCCAGTGGACTTCTAAGATGTAGTAAAAAGAACCGGGATTTGGCTTCAAAAGATCCATCACAGGGCGTTAGAGCTAGCAGACAGGCCCAGCTCACCCTATCTGACCTCCCTACCGCTGGGAGAAGGTGAAAGTGCTGTGGTCCCAGCGCCATCAAAAATGAATGGTGTGGCTCTGGGACATGGCTTCTCTGGCCTTGACTTCCACATGGTGCATTGGGCCAGGGAGCCAGGGAACGGGAGGAAACCAGCCTCTGGAAAGCACCTTACTTATATTTATCGTTGATGCACATTTTTCAGATGAAGACAATGGGGTTCCAAAAGTCAAGAAGGTCTCCTGAGGCCACAAGCACTGGGGCTTCAGGCCAGGTTGCCTGATTCCACAACCATTTCACCACCCCGGGCAATAGGAGGTTGGGTGGGATCCGGTGGGAACTGTCTGAAGGTCTGTGATGGAGCTTGAAGTGTGACCCAAGTGAAAACCTAACAGGGGTCACGGAAGGATCCAACTAAACGTGTGCCCCCGCCCCCATTACGGGAGCCTTCTGCCTAAGAAAGAAAAGGCACCACTTTTAAGTGTTATAAATTATAAGCAGAAATTAATGGCTACCACTTCGGGAGGCTTGTGGCTTGTATGAGTTGCTGACGGTTCCTCACTGTATCACTGCCACTAACAACATCCTCTTCTACAGGTAAGAGACAGACCGGAGAAGTCAGGTAACCTGGCTGAGTCACACAGCTACAGGCAGCTGTATCCCTGACAGCTCTGATCCCAGAGCTACAGGCTTGCCTCTGGAGCATCCGCCATATATCTGACAAGTCTGTGAACAGATCTGGCATCCACACAGCTAAACCAGGACAACACTCTTCATTTCAATATTCTAATGCCTCTTTTTAAAAAAACAACAACTATTAAAACATTTTGAATGAGTCTTCTTGAGTACTACCTTCTCGGCCAGCCTGGGAGGAGCAAACCCTTACACACGTGGTGTGACAACAAGATAAAGGTTGTGTGGTGCAAACTGGGGCAGCGAGTGAGCGTGGAGCTGTGGTGCACAGACACCAGGGGTCTGGAGCAGGGCCGCCTCCCCAGGCAGGGACTGTACCTGCCCTGACATTGTGGATGTCCTTTTCAATGTGCTCTGCTCTTGGCTGGTGCAGGTGCAGACGCAGCTCCAGTTCTGAATCCAGCTGGTCAATCTTGGTGGACACGATGACCCGGGCACTGAGAGAACATTGGTCAAACCACTTCTCTAAGTGCTCGAAAAAGCCAGCTCGAAGCCTGAGGGAGAGAATAGTGAGGGTCATTCTGATGGCAATCGGGGTCTACAAGAGATCTTTCCATATTGATAAAGTATTTTGCCCTTTCACTCTTTCTTTCTTATTTTATTTCTCCAAAACACTGTGTTTTGGGTGTGGGTGGACCATAATTCTTTAACCATACCCCTGCTGGAGGACATTGGATGGGTTTCAACCATTTGTTCTGACAGAGAAGGCCACAGTGAATAACCTTGTACATATGTCAAGTGTAAACGCATTTCTATAGGGCAAATTCCCTGAAATGGCATTGCTAAATCAAAGGCTAAAATACATGTGTTATTCTTGAAGATACAACCAAACTACTTCTACTTCAAGGCAACTTGAACTCTCATCAGCAGTGAGGAACAGTTCCTACTTCTCCATAGCCTCAGAGTGCATTGTCAAACTTTTAAATTTGACAACTTTGTCATATTGACTGAGATTGAGCATAGTTTCATTTGTGGAAGACTATTGTATTTCTTTTTCTGAACACTATCCATTAATATATTTTGCCCATTTCTCTACTGTATAACTGCTTGTTTTTCTTATTAATCTCTTTATACAGGAGCTCTTTATATTGGGAACATGAGGTCCTTTGACTGTGATGTGAGTCGCAAATATTTCCCCAGTTTATCATGTCTTCCTTTTTAAAAGTTATGTTGACAGCTGTGTATTGTTAAGATGTCAGTTCTCCCCCAGATTTATCTATAGATTCAATGAGATTAAAAAAACAACACACACAACTCAGCAGATGTCCTCTTATTGAAACTGATGAGCTGAATTCAAATTTATATAGAAATACCAATGGTCAAGGATAGTTAAGACAACCTTGGAGAAGAGCAGATTTGGAAGACTTACACTTTGAGATTCTGAGACTTGGTATAAAGATACAGTGCTCAAGCAAGGTGAGGTGGTGAGGCAAGGATATACGCACAGAGTAAAAGAAGGAGGCACAGCAGAGCAGTGGGGAGAGAAGAGTTTTCCAAATGACCTGGGGCCAACTGGTTATCCATATGGGAAGAAATTAACGTTGACTCCTACCTCACACCATACACAAAAATCAATTCCAGGTGGATTTACATCTACATGGGGAAGTTTAAAATGTCTTGTGGCAGATAACATAGGACAATATTTTCATGACCTGGGGCAAGCAAAGATTTCTTAGATAGGACACAAATTACACTAACCCTAATGAAAAAATGTATGATTAGGAACTTATTACAAATTAGAAATTCTGTTCATCAAAAGATACCTTTAAGAGAATAAAATAAAGTGCCCTACCCAGGTTTGCTCAGTGGTTGGAGCGTCAGCCCTCAGACTGAAGAGTCCTGGGTTCAATTCCGGTCAAGGGCACATACTACATACCTGGGTTGCAGGCTTGATCCCCAGTGCTGTTCAGGCATGTGAGGGAGGCAATCAATCAATGTGTCTCTCTCACATCAATGTTTCTTTCTGTCTCTCCCCCTCCTTTCCACTATGTCTAAAAATCAATGGAAAAAATATCCTCAGGTGACGATTAACCAAAAAAAAGAAAAAAAAAAGAAAGAAGGAAAAGAAATGGGGAAAAAAAGAGTAAAAAAGGTAAGCAAAGAGAGGGAATGAATATTTGCCATGCATTTACCTGACAATAACCTCATATCTAGTGGAAGTAACTAACTCATAGGAGTCAGGAGAAAAAAGATAGATAATCCACCAGAAAAAAAATGGGCAATAGATTTTAAGATAAAATAACCAAATGGTCAGTAAGTATATAAAAAGGTGCACAACATCATTACTCATCAGAAAAATAAATATAAAACCACAATAAAGCACCACTACACGTATACCATAGTGGCTAAAATAAAAACTGCTGATAATACCAAGTATTGGTGAGGATATGGAGCAAGTGAAACTCTCACACACTGTTGTAAACTGTTAAAAACACTTTTGAAATCTCTTGGCAGTATCTTTTGATTTTATCTCCTTAAGATGGATACATGTATAACTCCATGTCCTAACAATTCCACTCTTAGTTATATATCTAATAGGAATATATGTATATGTATATGTATATGTATATGTATATGTATATGTATATGTATATATATGTATGTATATATATGTTCACCAAAAGATGTGTGCATATAAGAATGTTCAGAGTGGCATTGTTGGCATATCCCCAAATGGGAAACAACCCAATGTGCATCAGTAGTAGAATAGATCAATAAAATGTGTCATATTTTTAATAATTGAATACTATACAGAAATAAAAAATGAGCTATAGCCAACATTAAAAAATATATATGAATCTTACAAACATAAGGAAAGACGCCTGATATAAAACAGTACATTCTGTAAGATTCCACTTAAAGTTGAAACACAAGCAAAACTAATTCAGAAGTTAGAATATTTGTTACCCTTGGGGAAGAGAGCGTAGTGACTTGGGACAGGTACATGAGGGGGACTCCTGGAGAGTTGGTAACATTCCACTTCTGTGAGTACTGGTTACCTGTGGTATTCCCTTTGAGTAATTCACTGAGCTATATACACTCATGATTTCAGTACTTTTTGACATGTATGCTATCCTGTAACATGCAAATCTAATAATTTAAACACAGAACTATTTGTATGGTTAGTTCCAAGGCCAGATGGCATAGTATTTGGTTCAAGACTCCGGAATTACAGGGTCTAAATTCATATCATGGATCTAACCACTTCCTATCTCAGAGATTTTGTTCAAGTTACTAACTCTCTGAGCTTCAGTTTCTTCATCTGTAAAATGGACTAATTACTGTACTCCTCTTATAGTTATTGACAGTATTAGGTCCTCTCAATAAATATTAGCTCTTGTGGTGGTCCTTGTTCTATGGGCTCTGAAGAGGACAGACATAGCCCTGTGATAGAGGAAGGAGAGGATGAGGTTCAAGTCAGGAGATGTTTCCAAGGTCAGAAGATGCCGAGATAAAGGAGAAAAGAATACAAAGGCCTGACTACTCCTTCTATTCCCTGCCATGTGTAAACATGGGAGGTAGACTAGCAAGTGATCTGTAGCTGGCTAGTCCTAGCCATGGTGTTGTAGAGCCAGAAGGACAATGGAAATGTTCTCCTAAAGCCAAATACAAATGTCCATGTTTGATCCAAATTCAAACATGAAGGCCCAGAAACTTGGGAGGTAGGGGTGGTAAATTCTTAGTGGTAAACCTATGGGTCATTTCTATATTCTTCATCATACTTTTTTCAATTTTCCATATTAGTTGTGTCACATCATCAGAGCCAAATACCATACTGATATACTCACTCCTATAGTCTATATCTACAAAAAAATTTTTTTAAGTAAGAAACCCTAAGGTTACCGATGAGCCATGATCTAGATCCCAGAAACATCTTGCAGAGAAAACACTAGGTCTTAGGTACAAGGCCCAAGACAGCAAGGCCTCCTGGGACAGGTGGAGGGGTCACAGAAGATATCTGTATCTGCAACTAATCCTGGGCATTTGTGTTTCTCATCTATACCCTCAGGTCCACATTTCCTCTTTCTTGGTGAAATTAGTCCATTTTTTGTTAAATGTTAAAATGTTAACTTGTTAACATTGTTAAAATGTTTCAACTTGTTAATAAAACTCATGACAAGAGAATGAGAATAAAAGGGTTTCCTACTCACTGTTTCTTAACTTCTGCAACTAGCCTGGATGGAATGAGTACTTGTTCTAGGAGCTTGGCATTGGAAGTGTTGTTGATGAGAATGTCAGAAAGGTTGGATTGGGACCCCTCGATGTCCTCCTCTTCTTGTTCCAGAGGGATGAAGACAAAATAAGTGTTCCCACTGGAGACTGTGAAGGACTCCATGTCCTCAGAGGATACGGTCCCCAGGCTCTCTTCCTCGGCTTGGGACTAAGCAGAAAACAAGAGTTTAGACTTCACATCATCAAGCAGACGTGGGGATCCAAACACAGGTTCTTTGACATCTGAGGTTATAAACCTATGACCTGAATCTTGCCTGTAGGTTTTTTTGTTTTGTTTTGTTTTGTTTGTTTTTGTGGGGTGTTTTTTGTTGTTGCCCACATTAATGCTTTTAAAGTCGGGAAATTGCACATATAGTCTAGATTCTGGAATTCTCTTAAGAATCAGAAAACCTGGCAATTCTGAGCCCACTTCCCACATGACATTGTTGGCTGGGGCTGAGTAATGACTGCACAGTGGCCGTAGACTGAATGGTGGATGTTCTTCCAAAATGTATAACACCATCGTGTTGGTATTTGGAGGTGGGCCTTTAGAAGGTGATTCAGTCTTGAAGGCAGAGCACTCGTGAATGGGATTAGCGTCCTTTTTGAAATAGACCCCAGAGAACTCCACTGCCCTTCCACAGTGAGAAGATGGCCATCTATGAACCAGGAAGTGACCCTCACCAGACGCCCAATCTGCTGGTGCCTTGGTCTTCGACTCCCAGCCTCTAGGACTGTGAGAGAAAAAAATGTCTGTTGTTTATAAGCCACCCAGTCCGTGAGGGCAGCCCAAATGGACAAGACAATGCTCTTTACTGCTTGTCGCCATTTTACACTTGGTCGCCAGCTCTGTGACAGGCCTGTGGGCATTTGAGCTTGAGATCCCTGCTCAGAAAGAAGTCTCATGTGCCAGTTCTTCCACAGCAACACAGGAAAAGTATCTTTTGCAATGTCACGATGATGAAATTCAAGTTACTGTTCTATGAGTTTGAACATGTCAGGCAAAACTTAATGAGAATTACTTCCCTGTACTTGAAGGAGAACTCTGCCTGCCAACTGGGAGATGGGTCTTTGTTTTACTCAACCAGAGAATGAGAAGAGAGGAAGAACAGAGGGCAAGTTGATCTATACAGCAAAGAGGAGCAGGAAAGAGAGAGGACCCGGGAAGACCAAGGAGAGCCATGTGACCTCAGAGTGGGTTGTAGGATGGGATGTGAGGAGAGGAAAGTGGATTTTAAAAAAACATTGCTATGAGATAATAATTAGGTCCCTATTGGCAAACATAAAAGGTGCGCATACCTATGTAATTCTTTATACACGCCCCAAGGGAGACCGTGTCACTGGGGGTTCAAGCTTGTATTAATGACACACAGAGGGAACATAATACACTTTCCCCATGCAAAGCACAAACCCATTCCTGACCTACCTCAGCCATAAATAAACTCTCAGGTTCTTCCTCTTCCACCTCCTCTTTGCCTTTGTCCTCCTCTTCTTTCTTCTCCTTCTCCTCTCTAGTCTCTTCCTCTGCCTCTTCCTCCTCTTTCTTCTCTTCCTTCTCCTTTTCTTGAACCATCACATTTTCCTGACTCAGGGATGGTTTTAAGGAGCTGTCTCTTTCAACCTGCATTTTTTCTAATTCCTGAATAGAGTCCTCTTTCGACACACCCGTCCCTTCACTCAGTACAGATTTTTCCATCTGGCTCACGACCTCTTCGGTTACGAAGTGTTCGGTATCTCCATATTTTCCTTCTTCCATCTCTTCTGCGGACCAAGGGAAACTTTCACCTCCACTTGTGCTTTCCTCGCCCTTGCTCGTTTCCATGGTAGCACTCCCCTTCCCCCTCAGCTTTCTCATTCTCTCCTGGTAATCCTTTTCACATGCTTCTGTTGAGGACCAATCCAAAGCACAAAGAAGACAGGTTACCAATGTAGCCTGAATTGAGTGTCCCCAACCCAAAAATATACCAGAGTGGAGCCAGGGAGAATCAGACTTGACCTGTGAAAGGTTTACCTGGTTCCCTGAGTTTGAGAGTGACTTCCCCGTCCAAGTTCTACAAGGGAAAAACAGGGACACTGAGCAGCACTGCTCTCCTCCTAAGTGCCACTTCTAAGGGCACCTCCTTCCTTTTAAGTAAAAGGAACTGCCCCTTCCCCCAATACCTACTGCAGGCATTTCACTGGGTCATCAGGGTGTTCCCAATTCAGGGAATCAGTTTTACTTAATCCCAAACATACTAGCAATCCCTTTCATCATACAGTAGGCATTAATAGAATAAAGTCTCATTCTGACATTTTTTGTTATTGTTGTTAATCCTCACCCAAGGATATTTTTTCCATTGATTTTTAGAGAGAGTGGAAGGGAAGAAGAGGGGAAGAGAGAGAGAGAGAGAGAGAGAAACATTGATGTACCCACAAGACACATCAATTGGTTGCCTCCCACACTCGCCCCAACCAGGGGCGGGTATTGAATCTGCAACCTTTTGGTGCTTGGGCCGATGCTCTAACCACTAAACACACCAGTGAACTAAAAGAATTGTCAAATTAGCCTTTTCGGAGTTTGCAGGTCTGGATTCGAATTCAAGCTCTTTACAAATTGGGTCACCTTGGGCAAGCCCCTTAAACGCTGTGGGGCTCAGTACGTGAGGAAGGTGATGTGGGAGGTCAGGCTCGGTGGATGGGGTGCTTGCCACTGGCCATGGACTGGAAGTACTGGTGGGTTTGGATGAGTGGAGACAGGCAGATGCCAGCAGAGGAGGAGAAGGAGCAGGGGCAGATGCAGGCAGAGTGAGGAGTGAGCTGACACAGGGACAGTCACGGCGGAACCAGATGCGGGGCCTCTGCGGTCACCTAGGAGCTGTGGGCTGAGGGCCTTGTGAGCAGAGAGTGGGGAGGACAGAGCTATACTTTAGGGAGGGCCGTCTGGCAGTGGTGGGTTGGATGAATGAACTCAAAGAATTGTCAAATTAGCCTTTTATGATAACTCTATCCTTCAACCTCTTCTAATCTGAGAAAGTGGTGCTCTCTCTTAGAAATGCTTTTGACTCCTTGATGGCCTGACATAGAATCTAATTCCACGTGGGTTAGGAAAGGTGTTAGGGTTGAAGCAAATCAGAACTAGAAGTCATCCTCTGCTTCTCGGTGAATGACTGGGCTTTTTGCACCCCCCTCCGTACCTGCTCAAAGATTTCACGAACATGGAAGTGTTTGCTGAGGTTGGAGCTGTAGGAGTTGAGTTCGTTCAGAATGATCGCTGAGTACTCCATCACTTCTCTCGTCAAGATGACATGAAATTGTTCATACCTGGGAGGTAGGTGGGTGATACTTTCATCTAAGAAGGGCTCTGCTGAATGTGGGAGACCCCAGCCAACAGCGAAAGCCCTGACCCCGCGGAGGTGGGCTAGAGTTTGGCATTTAGCTCTGCACAGAGCTGCTGTATAGGTTTCCTTTTACAATGATAGTCCTTGGTTTGCTTTGCTATTTTTTCTGATCATACGAGGGACACGTACTTGCTGTAGAACATTTAGAAAACACACACAATAGCGTTGTAACATGGGTTCCCACTTCCTGCCCAACTGCCCTAGCCCTGTACTTGAACGTCATCTACATGCTCCCATCAAACCCTCTGATGCCCCAAGACGCAGGCTTTTATGTTTCCCTGGTAAGGAGACCGAGGCTCAGGGGTGACTTATTTGCCTCAAGATATAGATCGAAGTCCTGCAGACAATCAGCAGTACTATTCCTTTTCTGTAAATGGTCCTCACAGAATTAGTTGTATAAAGGCACCAAGATACAAGATGGTTCACAGAGAACTGTTTTTAACATTGAAAAACTGGAACCAATCTTCAAAAGTGATTCAATTGGGGGATGGTTACATCCTTATAAAGCAACTATATGAATGGATTCTATATGGTATTTAAAAACAAAAATATATTTGTAGTTATAACCTTTACTTACAAGACACTATATCTCCACATTTACACATGCCCATAAAAACAAGGAGTTGAGCAGGAATAAGGGGGAATTTTTCTACATGTTTGTATTGGTTAACTTGCTTTTTGTCTTTAGCGAAGAGCAAGTATGTTTAAAATTTAAAGGTAGGAGAGAGCCCCATGCTCTTGACCTTTAAGGAACAGGGCCTTGAAATCTCCCTCTATGAGCTTTTCAGACCAATGTCCTCCCTGGAAGTTTCTGTGTTGACTGAGAACAGAGCTGCAAAGGGCCACAACATTCTCCAGAGCTGGAGGCAGCAGCTGAACCTTGAGTTTGTTGGGCACACGCTGGGCTCCACAGCAGGCAGCCTCTGACCCTGAAAATGAATGCCAG